TTGGCCTTCCTGTTGTCTAACGTTGAAAGATTAAGAATGGTTCTAGACAATTGTCTTTAAGTCAATATAATTCTAAGAGAATCATTTCAAACCTATAGTAATCCCTGGCTCATAAGTCTCTAACAGATGGGCTTGTGTCTGGAAGGATCATGAGTATAACATATGAAGCCCAGTGTATTTATTGTATTAAATTTCTGAGACTACCATCAAAACAAGTTTTAAATTGCAATGTACTTTACTAAAGTATGTTATTTTATATTATAGGTGTCTATAAAATGTTTTCTATGGTATTTTTTTACCTTCATATATTCTGATAGGATGTAAATGCACCTGTGATAGTGTAAATAAGATGCTGATGATCTCCTAATTCAGTGATTTAAAAATGATCTGCAGAGCCCTTGGGTTCTTTGGAGATGATTCAGTGCCCCACTGAGGTGTGACTGGAAGGGGAAAGAGGCAATTCCTGCCTTTTCTTTTTAAATTTTTAATTCATTTTTATTATTTTTGTAGAAATGGAAGTCTCACTATATAGTTGAGGCTGGTCTCCAACTTTCTGGCCTCAGAAGTTGGCCAGGGTGATCCTCCCACCACACCCTCCCAGAGTGCTGGGATTACAGGTGGGAGCCACCATGCCTGGATATATTCCCACCCACCCCCTTTTAAACTGTCTTTATATATTGATATTGTCTGTAAACTTTAACTTGAAAGGAGAATTCTATCTCCAAACAGAAATTTATAAAGATTAACCTAATGACCTGTTTCCACATGATGAAACGTAATCAGATTTAAATGACTGATTTGCACCCATTTCTACTGTCTTGAATTTGAGTCTACATCTGACTCATGGCTAGAGAACCATGGCTTTGTTAACACACATAGTTATGCCGTAGGGCAAGAATGTGAAAAAATAATTTTGAAAGCTAACTTCTGTACTCATATTTAATCTATTATTGGATTAGTCCCACTTAATAACTCCAAAAACTGCTTTAAGGGAAGATGCTGTATTTTATACTGAGAAAGACTTTGTGTATTCAATGAATGACAGTGAAAACCAGAGGTATGTGGTCTAGTTTTCTGTCCTAAGAAAAAGTGGAAGGAAAGCTTATAGATACAGTAGAAAGTTTTAGATATGCACTGGTCAGTAAGAAAATATCATTCAGGTCTATCACTCATTTATGGTACATGGACTCTGGAAGTCCAAACTTTTTCAAGTTTCATAGTTCACGTCCCAGCAAATGTTACCCTGGGTTATGCCTTTTCTGAGTAAAGTTTCCCAGGGAACACAGCTTTATCCATGCATGGGAATAATTATAGATACTCTGGGGACTTGCTTTAATGTTCTGGTCTATGTACAGGAGAGGCTTCTCATAGTTCAGCCTGCTGCAGGCATTGTAATAATAATGAAAAATAATTTTTTTAAGTTTTTAAAAAGCTCAGTCTCTGTTTAGCTTAGGTTCCCAGCATAGTGGAAGGGCATTTTGCTTAAAAGTTCATTACAGAAACACTCTGCTAATTTGACACACCCCTCCCAAAGAAAAGGAAGTTCTATTGTTCCTCCATCTTTCAAAGACAGCCAGAGGAATAGGATCCACTAGTGAATTCTACAAAATGAATAGTATTTATAGTACATAAATTGGATAGGAGACAGTTGATTTAGCATTAGAATCAAGAAAGGTATGTAATTGGTGGCATTTTAAAACATGCCTTTTTGTCGTCCCTTATTTACACATTTCAATAATTTTCTTTTCTGTATCTATTATTTTTTATTTTTAAATTTAAGTACTTCAAGCAGAAATTAAATTATTTCAGATATAGTATCAATGTCTTATCTTTGATATAAAGGATAAATAATTAATAAAAAATAAAATTTAACCCAAAGTTAGCAAATGAAATTAATTACCTATTTTAATATGTAAACAATTGTTTATTAAGAAAACTGAATATGTAAGACCTAAATTTTGCATGCTCTAAAGAGCTAAATATGATGGAAGAGTAGACAAGATACCCTCGGAAGACGGTATGCAGCGTAATAATAAATTATGATTAGAATATGATATTTCATTATTCCTGGTGTCACAGCATTCACTAATAATAAATGAATCAATTATCTTGCCTATTCTTAGGAAAAAAGCAAAAATGTACAGCAAGGTAATAAAAATGAATCAATCAGTTGAAAATCTCTCTCTCTTAATATATTAGTGTGTGGAAGAAATGATGTTGGATTAACACTTGTATCTTTGCCTATATTGGATCCAATCATATCCAGACCAATATTAGATTAATAACTGTCTAACCACATGATTAAACAGAATAAATTAATTGACACTTCTGTTTTCTAAAGAAGTTGACTCAACAGCAGTGGGATGTGTACACTATTTCACTTCAGTTTTAAGTTTAAGCAGACAGAGCTAGGCAGTACCCATGCCTATGCATTTCCCTAAATATCTGGGCTCAGAGTCCATAGAAGTTGTAATTAGTTTTTAGGTCTGGAGAGGGAGGCATCGGAGCACATGCGCTGTTCCCTGGGTTCTCCAGTGGGCACTCTTGTAACTCTCTCCCCCTGGTAAAAACTATTCCTTGTAATGCATGGGGCTGCTTGAAGAATGATTCTGGAAAAGTCCAGATAGATTCACAATGAGACTGTGGCATAGAATCTGGAAAGGGCAAATAGATGCTGATGTATCTGTCTTAACAGCAATAGATTTATAATCTTAAAATAAGTTTATATGCCATCAGAGTTGAAAAGGACATCACAATTGAATGAATAATTATTAATGAAGTTCATATAGGACATGATAAAATAACTTTCCGAAAGAAGGAACTTAATCTTTGAGTTAAATGGATTCATGGTATATTCACATAACTGGAATTTAACACTGGGTGTTTCCTGCTGCATTTTTTTCTAATGCACTCTTAAAAGCATAGGATTCTAGAGAGGTTTTTCTAAAGCTTCCCAAACGTGGGGAAGAAGAGCATGAGGCAGGAGTGGGGAGACTGAGTTAGGAATGAGTCTCAGCTGTGTAATCACAGTCATTTTTGCCTATTGGTCTTACATGCAAGAATTGAAGAACCAGTTCAGCTGCCTAAATTAAAAACTGCTAGCATCACCTCACATGAGGAAATTGAGGTATAGAGTGGCTTATCCATTGTCACCTAGCAAGAGAGTGGTAAATCAATCTTTGGTCTAATCTCTAGACTCCTAATCTCAATTGCACCAGGGTGGATCCCTGCATTTTGATTGCTTCCTTAAGTATAACTAGCAAATAAGAGTTGGGGGATGATCTGTGAAATGTGCATTCAGTAAAATGTTATGTACACCCTGAATATGATTATTGATTCACAGCATGCAGAACACCAGAATGGTATTCTCTATTTAGCAATTACTATGGTTGCTTAAAAGATTGTGTTTCAAGAAAAGTTTAAAGTGCTTTACAATTATACTTTGCAGAGAAAATTCCATTTGATAATAGCCATCCCTTATCATCAGCCTTATGTAACTTGTTCCATTGTATTATGACAACACTGGTCAAGCCAAATCATGTTACATCATTCAAGAGGGCAGGGAAAGCTATTATTCCTACTCCACCTTCAAGCAGTTAATAAAATGTCAGTTCATCCCCATTTGCTCAGTGAGACATAAACTTCCACAGGAAAAACAAATCACTTGTTTAAGCTTATGTGTTTTCCTTTTACACTGGAAAAAACATAACACCAATGAAATACCCAAGCTTGTCACAAAGCATTGGTGTGAATGAGTTTGTTGCATCTGTGATTTATAGTAGAAGTGCACCAGGTATAAGGAAGTAGGTAAAGAGAAATCCTAAAGGGTAAGAAAGAGTATATAATAAGTAAATAACTGAAATTGCCAAGGAAAAATTTTATGTTTGTCTTTCTCCATTTTGGGAAACAATCTTATTTTTTTAGCTATGCAAGTAGTATTTTTGAAAGACTAAATGGTTCCTCAAGTGAGCCATTTAGTTTTTGGAATGGAAATAAATACTCATAAAATCCTAAAAATGGTACTTCTATTGCAACAAGGCTGTAGAGACAAAACCTGAAACCATAATGAACCATAATTTTTATTTAACTTACAATAACAGGAATATTCTGTGTGCCTCTCTTTTGTCTGTAGCCCCCTTTTTTGTTGGCATGTATGTTTTCTTTGGCCATGGGCATTTTGAAGTTGAGAATAGTTGTTTATAAGTCACACAGCACATTCTGACTATCAGTGACAGGTCAGCCCCAGTATTTTAAAAAATACCATTATGATAGCTCAAATTATTGTGTTTTCAAATATTATAAGTAATAAATTCATATTTCAATTTGATTCAATTTGATTCAAATTACAATTTGATCCAATCATATAATACATTATATGCTTCCAATCTTTATATAATAACCACATACTATACAAAGATACCAAAAATAAGATTGACTGAAATACATACTAGCACAAACTAGTTGATTTTTAACAAAATTGGCAGAAAAACAACTGCACATGACAAAACAATATAAGTTGTATATAGTCAAAAAACCTTTTGAGATTAGTAAGAAAGCAATAATATACACAAAACATCCTTTACATTATATATTTTCTTCAAATTCTTTACATCTATATTATACCCAAAAGTCATTAACAATAAAATTGAAAATAAGGCATACTTCTTTAAATTAATTTAGTGTTTTAAACACTGTTTATAGGACAAACAATTTAGGTTTGAATTCAGTATGAAATTTTCTTTTAACAATGGTTATAATTATGGTGATATTAGACAGTATCCTAGTATTAATTTTCTGACAATAGATTGTTTCTATTAACTCTTGGTTTTTTATTCTAACAGCTTGCTCTTGAATGATTAGAAGAATTGATTCTCTCTGAGATTCATTGGTTCATTTCCTGTAAAATTCATATCTTGCTGTTTATTCATGAACAAGGTATGATAAAACGTCTGTTACTATACTTGCTTAGCATTTAGATGCAGAAGACATCAGTTCATCCCCATCTGTTTGGAGGAGAACTCCAGGTAGGGTGAGGACAGTAGTGTTTGGGTGGAGAAGCTACTTAAAGGATGATGTTGCAAGTAAGTGTCCAAGTGTCCTAGGCTGAGGGTGAGAGATTTCAATATGTTAATCATCTATAGAAAGAAAATTTAAATAGAACTTTGAAGAAATTCAAATATGACACTATTACTTCTGCCAGTGGTGGATAATAAAGCAAAAAAAAGGCGGGGGGTGGGGGCGAAGACCTAGGAAATCCATTTGGTAAAACAAAAAGAAAAGCATTTGTTCATTCAATACAGGCAAAATTATCTGTTCCAGTTGCATATTTTCTTTGTACTTTGATCTTTTCGTATTGATAATTAAGCTTCTGTTTTATGACTTCTTTCTCATGATAGAACCAGACCTTGTAGGAACCACCTTAATCTTGGAGTGTGAAATATTAATTTATCCCCTGAACAAGAAAAATGGGCTGTGATCGAAACTGTGGGCTGATCACTGGGGCTGTCATTGGTGCAGTTCTGGCGGTGTTTGGAGGTATCCTAATGCCAGTTGGAGACATGCTGATTGAGAAGACAATTAAAAAGGTACAAATAGTCTAAAGACTAGTTCTTTTCATTCTTGATTAATTCTATCTTCTCTTTTTGCTTTGAGTACAAGCTTCATATTTCATGATAACTGGCAATTTTGTGTCTTTGACACTAAGATAATTACGAACCACTGCAATTTCTACATAATGGAGAAGTGACCATGTGTGAGATGTTACAAATATAATGTATATTTAACATGAGTACATTACTATCTTATATAAATATCCACATTGTGATAACAGCTGTCTATAGGTATGCAAGCTAGTAGAAATAAAAATGTTTTTAAATATATCTAAATAGTATGTTGGCATGCTTTTGAATAAGAAGCAAATGTGTTTTGTAAAAGGATATTTATAAATGTAGTGGCATTTTAGTTAATACTGAGAAAAGTAAAGCCAAATATACGAGTATATGTGTGTGTGCATAAGATATTGTATTTGATATTGAAAAATCTTTGGTAAACTGTTTGGAAAACTTTGTTATTTTGGTTTGATAATCCACTGCTTTATATAATTTGTATAATGATCTGATTGTCTCATAAATTATGACGTTTTATATTTGACTCTTAGAACATATTTTCAGAAATATGTAAGACATATCAGTGTATAGAAATTGATTGTACTTTAAAATAGTAGAATGATCCAATAGACAGGCTTTGCACAACAACCTAGAATTCTTCTCTGACCCTAGTTCATTGTAATTAGCTATACATTCACTCTTCAGAAACTTTAATTGATAGAGGGAACCAGAGAATATAGGCAAAACACATCTGCTAAAGTCCTAAATCAGGAATGGTAAATTCAAATGGTTTCAGGAGTTTGGAGACAGGGGTTAAACAAAACTTAAGGTGTCAAGAACAAGACAAAATGAAGATCAGGAACAAATAAGAGTGTGTGTCCTGCCTGAAGGCATGCACAGTCATTTTTTGAAACATGATGCTGGCCAAATAAAGCATATCCGAGGGCTACCTTCAGCTCTCTACCTGGTTAGGATGGCAGTGACCTAGACAAAGACTTATTAAGTATAGTGCAGGATGGAGAACAACAATTTCATTAAATTTTTTATTGTTGTATTCTTTTAAATATATTTGTGGATATGGAACCTGCAGGTACAGAGGGCTGACTGTAGAGTGATTTCTATCTCGTTTATTGCTAACTTATCATAGATCTTTACCTCATACATTTAACCAAAAACATATATATAAAAATTGAATGTTATCTCTGCCTTGAATTCCCCATTTTCTTAATAGTATTTTTAATATAAGCCATTAGAGATTGTGATGGTGAAGCGGGGCTTGTCTAAAAGTGAGATGGAATTCCCATTGCTCTAGCATCCTTCTTCCTCTGTAACTGTGCCTCCCACATGGCCCTGCTGCCGAGAAAGCACAGTATCTGTGTCTATGTTAACACATAGACTATAACTTATCTTTTTGTTTCCAAATTAAAAAGTCACAGTAATCTCACCGTGCATGGCAATTTAGACTATTGATCCTGATACATAATTAATGATCAATACATGGGTATTGACCATTTAATTTTTTTCTTTGTCATGCAGCAAAATTAGTATGTATAGACTCTTTGGGGTGGCATGTGAGATGCTAGGATCTATTTTAAGTTAATTCTTTAATATTTATCTCTTATAATAATCATGAGAAAGAATATTGAGATGTATCAAGATGTGAAAGAGTATCAAGATGTGCTTTTGTATAGTGACTAAGAGAATCAAATAAATTATCTCAAGTGTGATATAACTAGGGAAAAGTATATTATAATTAAAAAAATACATTATGAGACTCTAGAACTGAATTTGGAAAATAAATGTCATTTAGAAACAGAATTCTCTGAATATTCAAGAAACTTCAGGAAGAAGATGGGACTTGAGATGAATTTTAAAGAAGTATAAAATTTTGAAAGTCCAAAAAGAACTGCAGTAAAGGTGTCAAAGGACTAATTAATTGGAAAAAATTGTGGAAATGAAATTAAATGCAGTGAAGAGGGATGGAAGACAGTAGACAATGTGCCAAGAATACTGGATTAACAAGAGAAATGTTTAGAAGGCAACATTAAGAAGCTATAAACATCAGGCAGAAGAATATTTAATTGATGCTGTGATATACAAAACTAGTTGGTATGTTACATAATAAAACCTGCATTTAGAGATTGATATCATCAAATGTCTAGCATTTATTTAGTGTTTACTAAGAGCTGCTTATATTCCTATATAATTAATTTGTCAGAAATATGTATGAGAAGATCCTGTTATTTTACCCATTTTACAGGCACAAGTGCCTAAATCAACTTGCCAACTTGTCTAGCCAATAGGAAAGGCAGTCAGTTTCCAAACACAGGCATTCCTAAAGTGAGAGCCTAAATGACCCCCATCCTTGTACACTATGCATGTGCAACAGAAAGGGTTGGAAAGTAAGGAGACCAACCAGAAAAACGAGAAAAAATTAGGTAGTATATGACCACTTTCAAGGAAAACTTAAGATTCCTTTTTAGAAAGATCTTTCTGTGGTGGTTTAGATAGGAAAAATTGAAAGGTGATGTCATGCAATTGAAGTTTGGATAGAGGAACTAAATTAGGAGACAAGAAAGTAAAAATAGCAAACTCAAGATGTCCAGTTGAGTTTCTGATAGAAATGTGTACCTTAGGAAAGAAGAGAGGTTTTATATTGATATGAACATCAGTCTATATTTCAAAGGTCAGATCTCAAATAGAGTTGATCATTGGTATAGAAATTACAGATAAGACTAAAGAGTAGATTTGCTTTTAATGAGTTTGAATGTAGAAAAACAAGAACACAGAGATTACTATACGTTTTGTATATAATTCAGGTGTAGGAAGAAAAAAGTGGAAAAGGAATAGAATGATCTTATGTGAAGAAATAGAAACAAAAGAGTCTAATTTCCTGGAAGTTAATAGGAGATCAGGACTCAAGGAAAGAGAGAATGAAATGTTGTGTGGCAGATGGAAATTAAGGAAATAATGGTTAGGTACAACATGGTCAATAATGATTTTGAAAGCATAATTTGAGGGAGGTAGGTAAATAAAGGAGGGGGAATGAAATAAAGAAATAGATTATTTTTTTTCTTGTTCTTTAAACGAGGTTTATCTGTGCAATCTTTTACAAAACAAAAGAGATGGTTTGGTATGGATTCAGACTCTAGGAGGAGGAGGAGGAGGTACAAAACTGAAATTTTGTGAAGATTGTTAAATAATAGTTTGCACTGTATGCTCACTACAAATCGATAGACTAAGACACATCAGAATCCCTACAATGGTCAAGGTCTAGAGTCCATGTAAGGCTTAATCTGATTTTGCTCTCAGATTTCTATATAATCATGTTGACCTTATCAATTTTAGTCATATAATGATGCTAGAACTTTTTCTTTGTTTACATAGACTGTTTTCTTTTTGGTTTTAGTTTACAAAACTATTTTGAAAATGATATTGGTATATGTATATCTTTGGCATATATTAGGAGTCAAATCTCTGAATTATGTGTAAGCCTAGAGAGCCAGTTGTCTTATCTTTGCCTCAGAAACACTTAGGATAATGCTGTTATTTTACAAACATATGAGTTTGTTACCGGTGAATTCTTATTTATCATCGAAACTCATTGAATATTACTTTATTTAATTAGCTAATAGCAAATTCAGGAAGTTATTGTATACAAGTGCCATTTTGAAATAGAATTAAAATGCTTAATGGAAAAAGATCAGAAAATCATACTGTTTTCTCATTTATAGAGTCGGAGTGCTATGATGCCTTCTAATTCTAAAAGATGACATAACATTATTAATTAATATAATTTGGATTGGTCTAAAGTAGTTCAGAAATCTTACTTAACAATATATTTTATTTTTGCTCTTTATTTCCAAAGGATGTTTTCTGGGGACTGTATGCTTTTTAGGGATTATAGCTGAAATCTTTCTTACTAGTATTCTTCACCATGATTCCTAATAGATTTGTGTGGAGCCAGCAAGTTTATGCAACCTTTCTTCTTCTTTTTTTTTTTTTCATTATCTTAGCACATCTGTTTACAGCATATGCAACCTTTCTAGATAGAGTAAAAGTCAACAGCATGAGTTACCATGAATGTAGAACCTACCAAAGCACTTTGACGAAGAGTCAGAGTTCTGCTGCCATTTGCAAAAGATAATTTATCACTTTATATTGTTAATATCACTTGATAAAATGTTTAGTGAATATTTTAGGTTTTTGCATAAATTCTTGGTGTCCAATTTCTGGGTTTAAGAACCCTATTAAAGCTTCCTTCCTCAGTACATTTCACCAAAGTTTATTCTGGGCCTTAGCTGATGATTATAATCTGATGATTAAAGCTATTTTCTGATTCTCAGCAAAACTCACTAATATTCTAATTCATTCTCTCCTTCTCAACTTACACTTGTACATAATGCCTAAAGATGAAAGAAATTATTTTAAGGATGGGGAAATTGTTCTCTTTAGGACCAGTTACAAGCAAATTGTAAGACTGGGTGGGAATGATGGAGGGCTATTTCAGTGTGCTTCTGCTTTTTAAGGAAGTTTTTATTTTACTGGGGAGAGAATACATATAAAATTATTTTAAATAGCAGAAAAAGAAATATCAGAGGAAATTACAGTACCTTTTAGCACATGACTGGCGTAGACAGTAAATGCTATGAACTGAGCAGTGAAAGGAATGTGCAGAGTAAATGATATTAGAGTTCTTCCTCTTAGAGGGTGGAACAAAATAATTTTTGAAAAAGCATGGATATGATTTACAAAATACTAATAGCTGATGTTTATTGAATGGCTTCTTTGTGCTAACACTGTTCTAATTGCTCACATTTATTTTTTTATTTTTTTGTACTAATGTAAATGGCATTGAGTTTTTAAATTTCAAATTCCAATTGTTCATTGCTGGTATATAGGAAAGCAATGAACTTTTATACATTAGTATCCTGCAAACTCACTATAATTGTTTATTAGTTCTAGGAATTTGTCAATGT